TATTTTTTAAGTATATGACACAATTAATTCACAAAAAAATCTTTTTTAACAGACAATAATATGATGTGTTTCTCATAAAACTTTTAAGTCATTTGAATAATTATATTCTGCATCAAAAATAAAAAGCCTTTAGTGTGCGACAATGTATCTTACTGTTCCAAATGTAAAGATGATCGAATTATGTAAATACTGCCAATTTTTTTCTAACATCTACAAGTGAAATTCTTCCTTAAATTCTTCACCTCATTTCATTTGTCGAAGCTGTCAACTATTCAGCATAAAAACCTATTTCTTTCTTTGTATAATTCTGAAAAGAAACTCTATTTGTATTCTGTTAAGGAAGCCAAAGAAATGTAACGGAATAAATCCGATGATGCGTATACTGTGCTATGTTAGAATTTTAATAAGCTACGTTTTTTTTTATCCGTTGTCTGAAAAAAAAGGGCTCTACAATGCATGAGATATTAATTGTTTTTTTCTCTTCCTCTTTTTCCTTCAAATTGTTGAAAGAATTCATTCATAAAAAGCATATTAGTTTTCAATAAGACGTTACTTTTTTTTTACATGAATTATTGAAAGATACTTCTGAAAAAATTCTAAGACGTGTATTAAAGTTCTTTTTTCTAAAAAGGGGGAAAAGAGAAAGTAACTAGGTGTCAAGGCATTTTAAAAAATAATTAACATCTGTTTATAGTGCAGTAAGTAGAATTGTTTGATCAAAGTCCTTTGACAAACTTTAGACGTTTAATTAATTTCTTCATAAAAGTGCACTTCTAAAAGAATTTTTTTTTATAATACTAAATCTAATTTACTTTTTTTTGTTGAGTAAAATTTTGGCAGTCTGAAATTTTAAATTAAACTACCTCATCAAAAAGCGACATTGAAAAAAATTAATTGATTATTAGGCTTTGGTTGGAATGATATGCATATTTTGAGAAAGTTTCATATTTTGAGAAGGTTTCAAGTAACGTGTCATTTCAAGTTTCTCAAACGTGCATCCATGAAGTTTTATATTCATAATTCACATGCATATTTGAAAATCTCTATGTTCTTACATGCCCTGCCAGATGTCTACAGAGAGAGAAAAAACGTTAAACCAAAGAGTATGATTACCTTCTGATTAGGGTGAAATTTGCCGTGTTTCAGGCTCTATGGGAACAACAAAAAGCCTCGGTGATTTTTACTGAAGCAATTTGGCAATGATTTTAATAAAATTAACAATAGTTTCTGATTATGTGATAAAATTTGATAAATGGGGTAAAATTTGGTAGTTTTAACATAACACCTTAGAGTATGACATGGAAGCTATTTATTCGGTTAAATTTACTTTTCAGTTTTGTATTTTTACTCATTGTGCGAAAGTTGCAAAGGAAGTAAGAAAAGAAATTAATATTCGATAGGAAAAAGAAAATAATATTCGATTACTGGAAAAGAAATTAATATTCGATAAATAGTTCTAGAATTATTAACTGTTAAACTTGATGTAAAAAGTGCCATACGAACATGCAGGCGAAAAAAAGCAACTACAGAGTTAAAAATGCATGCTGAAAAAGTCAGTTTTTTATAACACAAGTTATTTCTTTTATTTATTTCAAGCTTTCTTGAAAATTAATTGCGATTTCAAGTGCTTGTTGGGGGATTTTTTTCTCATTCCTTTTCTTTCGTTACATTTTTTTTACTTTTTGCTCAGCAGAAAATTTAAGAATTAAAATATTTCAAAATTTTGATGATTTGTAGAAAAAGGTAAAAAAGAAAAACGACGGAATAAATTTTGTTTCGAAATTCCAAATTTTTTGTAAATTATTGCAAATTTGAGTGCTTTTTCGTGATTTTATTTCTACTAATTTTTTGCTTAAAATATTGACTATTTATCCATTGTTGTTGAAAAACTCTTTTTCTCTCACTAGGTTTTATTTTTTTTATTATATAAACTCACGCTGAAGTAGATATCAATCAAAAGTAGAAAGATTGCATATTGTCAAATATTAATCTTAACATTTATATTAAAATTTTTGAAGTAAAAAATAATTAATAAAAAGCGATAAAAACCTATTTGAGTTCTTATAAGCCTCGCCAACGAATAAAATTATTTCTAATTTATTTCTAATAATTGAGTCACACAATTTGAATTCCTTAGATTACTTTTTCGAATGATTATTATTTTTCAAGATGATTATTTTTTAAATCTGGGAAACGGTCCATTTCGTTTCTAATAACATTTTTAAGAAAAACGTTTTTACATTAAACTGCAATAATTGTATTTTAAGAACAAATAGTTCAGTATTTTTTTTGTGGAAAATTGTGTTTTAGTGTTTTTTGTGGACTTTTTACGAAAAAACAGTGATGAAGGCGAAGCAATTTCGGAGATAGGGGAGCGCAGAATATTAAATTAATATTTTTAATATTCTGAATATTTTCATGCATAAAAAATTTAATTCACTTTTTATACATTAAATGTAAGTAGAAAACTTATGTCATTTCATGACATTAATTTTTACATTTTTAGTATTCTATGCAGAAAATACGATGAATAATTTTCATCAAGTCAAAATGACTAAACGTGCAATTCAATGTATGTAATTATCCAAAAGCTACATTCGTGAATTATCAATCTTCAAACTCTGCGATAGTTTTCTCACTCAAACAGAAATTAAATTATTCAACTCACCTGCGAATCTAATAGTTCTCATGTCTGTAACTATGGAAACCGTGTATGCGAATTCATAATCAACATTATTAGTTCGGTTTATGATTTCTCATTTCAACAATTTACTTTGTCTGTTCTGTTTTGAAGTAAACCAAGTATATAAATCTTAAATTATGTAACTAAATTACAAATGATCAGTATTAAATTATACATATCTGGAAAATATTGCTTCTTTTGAGAAGCATTTTACTATTTTAAAATTAATTTTTAAAATTTTGATAAGATGAGTTGAGCAATAATCTGTATACAACTCAGGAAATTCTTAAAATCATTTTCAGATAGATACTGGAATTCACAATGTTGTTTACAATTTGTTTTTAATTATTTTAAATATAACTTTTTCAATGAAAAAAAAAGTATAGTCAAAACTATCGGAATAGAGTAAAATTTTCCGCATTTCATGCTCAAAAGGAACATCAAAACACTCGGTAATCTTTACCGAAGTCGTTTATAAATGATTTTGGTAAAATGATCTATAAAATATGGTTTTATAATATGTGATAAAACTAGATAAATGTCCTATATTTTAGCTAGAGCATGGCATAAATGTTAGAGCATTGCATAAAACCTTTCATTTGCCAAAATTTACTTTTCAGTTTTGCAACATTTACCAATTGTATTAAAATCTATAATTTATAAAATCAGAATTTCCGGTAAAAGGTTGTAATAAAAACGAAAAAATTATCAACTAAATGGTTTAAATATCGTAAATTTTGGTGTTATTAAACAGAATTATGTTTTACCGAGAAATGTTTAAATAAATTACAAATCAGTAACAATTTCTTCAACATTTCTTTAAAAATAGCAATAAAACTCTTCATAAAATACATAAATGTATTGATTCAAAAAAGGACTGTCTCAACAACAGCAGCCTATAACAGGAAAATCTATAATGCCGGAAGTTTAAGGAACATATTATTTATAAAACATAGAAAGTACAGAGATATATTGCGCAAAAATCTGCCATTCCGAAGAAGACAAACTCTACTGTAAAAACATATTATTCAAAAATCTACAATCCCAAAGAAAACTTTTTAAATTGCGGAGAAATTTTATGCAAAAATCTTCCATCCCGAAGAAAGCGTAATACTGAAACAAACTGTGGAGTTATATTGAGGAGAACAGTAGAGTCACATTAAGCAAAACTGCTGAGTCAAATTATGCAAAACTGCAGAGTCATATTATGCAAAAATTTGCCATTCCAAGGAAAACGTAATATTAAAACAAACTGTTATATTGTGGAAAACAGTGGAGTCATATTATGCAAAACTACAGAGTCATATTACGCAAAAATCTACCATCCCAAAGAAAAGATATTAAATTCTAAAGACATATTATTCAAAAATCTGCCATTCCAAAGAAGACTTTTTAATCTGCAGAAAGATATTATGCAAAAATGTGCCATTCCGAAGAATGCGTATTAAACTGCAAAGTCATATTATGCAAAAATCTGCCATCGCAAAGAAAACATATCAAACTGCAAAAAAATGCTATGCAAAAATCTTCCATTCTGAAGAAAACGTATTAAACTGAAGAGACAGAGAAAAATTTTGCAACCCTAAAGAAATTTTATAAACTTTCAGAGACATATTATGCAAAACACTGCCATTCCTAAAAATACGTAACTCATTTCAGAAACTTATACTTTACCTACAATCTAAGAAAATCATTTTTATCTTATTAAAAACCTTTGCTGGTTTTAATTACTTTTTATGCAAAAATAAAGAACTATATTATTTTTCAGGATCACGCTTTATAAAGTTCGTTTTATAGAAATCATTTTCTGTAATTTCTTTTACTTCATAATTAACTTCAATTTCTACACTTCCATCGTTAATCATTAGCATCTATTTCTATAAAATTCATTTAAGGATTATGATTACATAATTCCTTTTTATAAACCAAATTCATGAGTAATTGGTTTTAAAAAAAGATTATTTTTATAATAATCATCAATATTTTTTAAATAAATTGTGAATCAGTATCCATATTTCCTAAAAAATAGCACTAAAACACTTCATAAAACCTGTAACTGGAACAAAACATTGCATTTATATTCAGTAGAGGACGTTCCCAACTGCTGAAACATATTATGCGGAAATCTACACCAAATCTCGCTTCACTTGCGATTTATGGCTACTTTTTTCCCTTTTTGTCCCATTATTATTTTTATTTTTTTTAGATCAAATAGAAACAACAGCATCAAATGAATGATGACTTTTTTCACTCCATTCAACGCTATAACGGCGAAACAGGGCCAGTAGTAACAAGTCAAAAAAATGTATTCCATAATATCCTACATGATCATTATTATTTTTATTTTGACTGTAACCGCTTCGGAATAATTTCCTTTCATAAGAACCACTTGCTCAACGGAGTGTATCCAAAAAAGGAGTGTTATGTGCAACTGTTACCATTTCCTCCGTTTATGCATCTTCCAATAAATGTTCGAAAATCCATCTTTTCTCCGGCCGAATGGTTATAGACACCACTTTCTTGTTTTTTCGTATTCTAAACAGGTAGGAAGAGGTAAAAATAATCGTTCTACCGTGAAATGTTCGAAAAGTTTTTGATGGGGGAAAAGATGAGTTGATGGAAGGTAAAGACGTTCGAAAGCGAAACAAAAACTGAAAGGTATTGGAACATACAATAACGCGATACCGAGAAGCGGTGTTTATTTTTTTTTTCTTTGTCGATTGCCTAAGAACTTGGAATATTTTTACGATGAAAGATTGGGATATATCAGTGCCTTACTTACTACCCAGGATTTCATCGCTTAAAAAATGTAGAAATAACACTATGCCAGCAAAGTTTCATAAGGTAAGTTTTTTGAAAACTTTTACTTTTTTTTATCCTTTGAAATAATTTTGAAATATTATTATTAGGATTTATTAGTTTTTGGAAACTAATAATATTCTTGGATTAAATAAGAGTTAATTTAAGTAATTTTGAGATATTATTAGTTTATTAGTTTTTGTAATCATATTCTTGTGGCGAATAAAATTTGAAATCAATTATTCTTTATATGATGCATAAGATTTTTCTTATACTTTATTCCAAATTTTCTTTAAAGTGTTTTGAGAGTATCTGAAAATTAAATATAGAGATGGCAATAACGAACAAAAAAATCATTTAAATAAATGCATAGAATAAATAATACCACTTTAATTTACGACACATTTAAAGACATCGTGAAATGAAATATATTATCTAAATAAGATTTCTATAATTATCTATCACACTGTAATTTGATATTCTTTATAACTAGTATATTCAAAAACCTTATTTGATTCTTTTGTTAGAATATCAGTTAAACAAATTTTTTTGAGTATTAAAATTTTTTCTCACTTTAAAATATTTTAACCAAAATAATAAGTTACATAAATATTTCGTGAAATTGTAATAAGATATAATTTTAAAGAAATTAAATATGTTATTTCATTGTTATTTTAACTTTTGAAATATTTATGATTGGTTATTTATAATTGTTTGGATTATTTCTTCAACAAGTGATTTGTGTTTTGTTGAAATCCTTTTTTAGCTACGAACGTTTATTTTCATTACAAAATTCGGATAATAACCTTTGTAAGATATTAAGTAATCAAATAAAGAAAGATCCAAATCATCCATTGTTATATTGTAACGAATTTTACTAAATAACTTAATCAAATGAAACTTAGATGACTGTCACGGAGAAAAACATTGTGGTAAAATTACCATACTGTATAGTATTAACATTTCTAAAAACATTCAAAAAATTAAAAAATAAAAAACATAATTTTGGTTAATAAAACCAAAATGTGTGGTAAACCATTAATTTGGTAATTTCACCGTTCACATGGTAACGGTTTACGGGAAAATTTGTTACTTAAAAGTATAATTCTTATTAACACATTTAATAAAAATACAAATTTGAATAAAATTTAACTGATTAAGTAGTTTTAATACCTTGCTTTAAGATGTAATGATCAAATTACAAAATTTTGCCACATTTGCTAAATTTTATCACACATTATCAAATATTATTTTATTGTCAATTTACCACAATCATTTCCAAAGCACTTCGGTAAAAATTACCGAGCATTTTGCTGTGCACATAGAGATGACTATACTTTTTTTCCAGTGCTGTTTGTATAGGACATATTAATGAAAGGAAACTGAAAAATATGGTTTTCTAGTAAATACTTTATAAATGTGAAAATTCGCATGTATTGTAGGTTTTACATCTTTAAATTGATATGACTTTAGTAACTATATATTTTTCTAATCAACAAAGTTATTTGAATATAATTTGATCAAAAATATATTTATTAAATTTTAAACTCTGTTAAATTTTTTAAAAAATAAGATTTTTTTTAATTCAATTTCTTTGGAACCATTTAACTGATTCGGCGCAAATGTTGTATTTTGCCATTCAAAATTACATTTTTTAAATAAAATAATGAAAAAAATTATGTAAAAAATTGTGCCTTACAATTCAAATTTTTTTTTTACTATTCACAAATAAAATAATGAAAATAAAATTTTTATTATGAGTTATATTTTGAATGGAATTATCTTCGGACAAACAAATATTATAATTGCGTGCAAAAGTTTTTCATTCGCTATAAAAGTTCTTGAGATATGGCGAAATACGCAATAAGTAAAATTAACATAAAAGGGCCCAAACTTTGGACCATTCTCCTGACTATGGCAACTATATTTCCCAGATTACTGCTATCCCCAATGTTTTGAGAGTCAGAAATTCAATTTAATCATTAAAATAATGTGTTTATTCAGAGAAAATACACTTTTGTGTCTGATTTCGTAACTTAAAATTTACCTGCAGATTAAAAGACTCGACAAAACAAAAAATACCTAACAACAACAAACAAACATACCATTTAAATATATTCCTATTCATTATTTAACAGTTGGAAGTGCCCCACTGTTTAAATGTATTTTCTCCATTTCAATAAAGACGTTCTTCACTAATGAACAGCATGCACTCAGAATGCAGTTTCTGGCTTTCTAACAGGTTAAAAACCACCCGATACAAATAGTTGATTACATCACCCTGAGCAAAGAGTTGTAACAAAGTGAAAGAATAATCAAATGATTTAAAACAATGCTCTCTATTTGCAAATTAAATGAAAAGGTGCGGAGTTTTTAGATTAAATAGATTCGCTGCGAGATATTTCAAAATGCTTTATTTCGAACTGAACAATTAAGCAAATGAACTTTAAGAATAGAACCGTATTGCGGAATAGGGCGACGTATGTTTGTTCTCAGTATTTAAATAACCAAAATAATGAACTTATTTTTGTTTCATTTATTCCTTACTAATAGCGTTATTGCATTTAATAAACAACTGTTTGGTTTCGTTAAAGATCACTTTAACAGTTAAAACAATTACACCTCAGCATTAACTTTGGTAATACCACCTCCTTTAACTGATAATACATAAAATTTTGTTTTATATTACGGATAATTATCTGTTTAAATACGATAAAAGTATTTGGTAAATTGACAGCTATTAAAAGATACTAATTAAAAGATAATTCATTTTGTCTTACTTTTTTTCTATACAAAATATTGTTATCGTGAATATTGTTATGCTGTTATGTGTCAGCTCCAATATTTATTGTTAAGTGAAGGAATTTAATTTGTTCAACCACAGAATTAAACAATAAGCAATTAACAATTAATACAGAGTGTTAAACATTAATAAACAGTGAATGTAAAACAAAAGTAGCTGAAATACACTGTTACTACAGCTACGATAGCACAGTGGGTAAGACACCGAGCTGTCTCTTTCTTCCAGCAATTAAACAACTTCTGATATTATCAGTACCTGTTTGGTTGCCGTTCAAACTGTTCTGGTACTGATATTTTTAGTACCAGAATGAAAACTCGTTGGATTTCGATTGCATTTTTTTGTTTTTACTAGCTTAAATATTAATTTACGAAACTTTATGAGTGAAATTTCAATTTATATAATTTTTGACAAAATGCTTATTAACGCTCTGTTTTGTTTTAAAACTGTTTACAATTATTTCATTTGCTATAAAGCATTCTTAATACGAGGAAAGATATTTTTTCAAGCAATGAATGTTTAAAAAAATTATCAAGTATATTTTTTTTTAGAATAAAAGCCGTATTCGCTTATTTAAAAAATTTTGATTTATTTTGCACATGTAATTTTATTCCAAAGCAATTCATTCTATTATTCTTTAAAATACAATTTTTTGTTTTTACTTTTAATGCCATTTCCATTATTTTAGCATTTAAATTTTTTAAGACAAAACATGTTTTTTCTTTTCTCAAACAAAAACGAGCCTGACTGAAAAGAGTGACTTTGTCAAATTTAATTATTAATTATTCAAAGTCTTTAACTTTTAAAATTTAAAAAAAAAGGGAATTTTTTCAAGAAGTGTTTCTTTGAGTTAAAAGCATTAAAAGAAAGTAACAAACTAAAACACCAACGTAAACACCATTTCAGACACAGTTTTGTTAAGAAGTGAATGAAAAATTGGATTAAAATTTTTGGTAATTCATTAGATGAAATGAGCAAAGTATCATCTGAAACGTTCAAATAGTTCATTGTTCATCATGAACATTTTTTCGTCGTTCAAAGATTCTTCGCTCCAAATCTTAAAGATCGAATAAAATATCTCAGTTTTTCAAATATTCTTCAGATATTTGACGTTAAGATTCAATTAGTTTGGTATCTCTAGCATTCAGAAAGTGGATAACCTGTCTCATATGGCACGTGAAGTTCGATTACCACACTATGTGATAAACATTTCAAACGCACAACATGTAACTGACACCATTACATATTTACTCGGCAATCTAAAATTGACTTCACCTATTGACCAATTAATAGACAAAATAGTCGAACATGTCTGAAATTAGGAACGTAACACTTTCGGAGCAAAATCTTGAATCTAACTTTAGTAACCAACATACTTAGTAAATATTTGCATAAGAGCACCGTGTAAGCTGTGGTGCAAATTCTTAAAAAAGAGTGACTGGTACGAAATGTAAATTTTTGCAATCTTGCGGTGTGTATAAAAATGATGTTCTTTTAAACAATATCGCACTATCGTACTTTTTATGCACAATCTGTACTTTTTATATGAAAATGCAAAATTTCAATTTATTGTAATAAACGCTCTTCGAGTTCATTTTATTTCTAAATAAACTATACTCCCTTGTAAATTTTGGAGAGTATTGAATCATAATTTCAGGAAGCTTTCCAATTTTCTCCAATCTTTAAATTGTTTTGTGTGTGTTTTTAAACTTAATTAACTGAGCCATGGTGGCTCAGGGGATAGATCATTCACCTTCTAATTAAATGAACCAGGTTTGAATCTCGAAGATGACTGGTGGATACGAATTCTGCTTCTGGCTCGCACGGACCACAGTGATGACCTAAAATATCCTCAGTAGTAAACGGATCAGGATTAGAGTCCCCTTACCATCAGGCTAACCGTGGGAGGTTTTCGTAGTTTTCCCCTTCGTTTAACGCAAATGCTGTTTTGTTCCATCAAAAAGTCCTCCACGAAAGCAAATTTTTATCAATACTTGAACCAAGAGTTCCAAGAGAGTCTTCTGGATTGGGTTCAAAATTACAAGGCTACGGATTTGATCATTAGTAGTCGTAAGCACAAAAGTTGGGTCGGCTTTTCAACAATAGTTATAAAAGGAAATAAAACTTATTTAATTCAACTTTTTAAACTTAATTAGCATGAGCGGACGCACTATTTCAAGTAACATTCTATTAAAGTTACGGCAACTTCACTCAATATAATTTTCAAGGCACCGATTATAGTATT